GCTTATGAGCCTGTCAAATTACAGTACTATACCCCAAAGTAAGAAAGTAATTGTAAAGTTTCAGAGTATTTTTAAAATATTTACTATAAGTAATTTTTTTCCAGGCTTCAACTTTCCACAAATCCTACAACTCTAACGAGTGACTGTTTCATTGTATCTTTGGCTGGAGTGTTCCACTGTTCTGTAAAACGCTGGCTGAGGAATTCTGGGAGTTGAAATCCACAAGTCATAAAAGGGCCAAGTTTGAAGACTCCTGTTCTTAACTAATGGTACTTCTTAATCCCACAGACTAATAACACAGCTTTTACTCTTTTTTGCATAACATACAGTATGTAGTTTAACATAACAGTTGAACGCTCCAGCCAAAGATACAATGAAAAAGTCACACGTTATTATAAGATGTATAAAATGAGGCAGAATTCTGGTTGGCTTTATTCATCTAAAATTACCTTGAAACATTTTTAGTGCAAAAAGTACTCTATATATTAGTCCTAGTTCCTGAAATAGGAAGCAATGTCTAGCAATTGAGGTAGTTTCTCAAAGCCTGAAAGTTTTAGGACAGTATTTCTCGTTATCACAGGCAAGTAAATAATGTTTAGAATCCTCTCCTACAGTATATAGAACTTACATTAAGTGAGTTAAATTATCAGTTATCTAACACATTTCCAAGCTAACAGTCCTACTATTGCTTACATTCAGATAAATATGTATCTTACGCAGAATGCATTGCGTACTTAAAATTCAGGTTGTTTAGATAGAAACGAGAAAATATATGTACCATTTTTGTTCTTGATGATTTAAAAAAGTACAGGAAATTGCCTAATGTTGACATTAAAATCCACTTTAACACACTTGCAATTTTAAGTATCTCAGTAGATTATAGTCCTGGAAACATTTCCTAGCATTAACATTTTCAACAGCAATGTGCATTTATCCAGCTTTTTTTTTCTTAATTCTTTTCAAAATGCCTATAAATCAAAGTAAAGTAAATTTTCTGGGAGGCATAACAACTTATTATAATTATACATAATGAACATTGTAATAAAACTAGTATTTCCAAAAATACAGTCAACGTCTGTGTTCCATCCCCGATCTTTGCAGTGTATCATAACAGAATTACAGGTAGTCCTTAACTTACAACAGTTTGTTTAGTGACTATTCGACGTTACAGCAGAAAAAAAAACCTTATGATCATTTTTCCCATGATTATTACAACATCCCCATGGTCATGTGATCAGAATTAAGACTTTTGGCAACTAACTCATATTTATGATGGTTGTAGTATCTCACGGGCATGTGATCACCTTTTGTGACTTTCTGAGAAGCCAGATTCACTTAACAACCATGTTACTAATTTAACAAGTGCAGTGATTTACTTAACAATGGTGGCAAAAAAGATCATAAACTGGGGCAAAATTCATTTACTGTGTCGCTTAGCAACAGAAATTTTGGCCTCAATTGTGGCCCTAAGTGGAGCACTTACCTGTAGGATGCCCATTTTCACTTCAGTATTTCTACTCTGTGCATCAAGATGCATATTACAACAATGTGACAATGGGGAAGGGACTCTTGCTTTATTCACATGGAATGTACTCTCTCTCCTACAGAAGTAGCTAAGTGAAATTTCTTAATGACTCCATGTTGGAATAAGGAAATTCTGTTCTAATTGGATTTAAAGGCAACAACCCACTTCAACATAAAGGAGACATCAATAGTAACTATATTTTTAATGGTTTTATTTGCTGATACATATTCCAATGGATTAGACCACTCAGCTAAAATTCTAGGAATTGAAAGGAAAGAAATCTTAAAGTTGCTTAGGTTAAGAAACACTGAAATAGAATATGAAATTGGCTGCATTTAAGGGATGTGCTGTTACAGAATCCTCATTCTATTTTTCTAGATTTTCTCATAGCCCAGCCAAAGCAGCATACAATGGTTATATTAAATCTGTTGCATGTTAGAAATAGAACCAATAAACTGTGTACAGAATTCTGAATTGAAAATTATTTTATAGTAGCCATCGATTTTATTAGCCAATAAACCAGCTGATTAACTTAATAGCAATCATAGAGATTTTATTAGTTCATTAATCCTCTAATTTAGTGTGTATTTATGGGAAGAAAGGAGCAGCAAATGGAAATGGCATCAGTTTGTACACTGTGGAGTTCTTATAAAGATGGGAAGGTTAATATTGGATCTGGAATATGTAATAACCTTGTTTTTAATATGCAGAATATCTCCTCTGGCAGAGACAGCTAGAGAGAGGACATGTGAATACATTCATTTTATATAGATTAAAAAAACATAAATTAATGGAGTATTATTATTGAAGTTTAAAATGTTAGTTATAGAAATTACTTTGCGCATTTTTGGGCATTTCAGTTTAGATGACTTGAAATTAGGCCCATTTGGAAATACTATGCTTCAGCTGACATCAGTGGATATAAAGTTCTACAGACAAATTCTAGAATGATTCTATCATATGCCTATACAAGTAGTCCTCGACCTATGACCACAATTGAGCCCAACATGTCTGTTGCTAAGTGAGACATTGGTTAAGTGAGTTTTGCTCCATTTTACAACCTTTCTTGCCACAGTTGTTAAATTAATTACTGCAGTTTTTAAGTTAGTAACATGGTTGTTAAATGAATCTGGCTTCCCCATTGATTTTGCTTATCAGAAGGTTGCAAAAGGTGATCACATGACCCCAGGACATTGTAACCGTCATACTGTGTTTCCCCGAAAGTAAGGCCTACATCAAAAATAAGCCCTACCTTGATTTTGGGGGGTGGGCCTAGTATAAGCCCTACCCCAAAAATAAGCCCTAGTTTTGTGGCAAGGCACACACCTAAAAATCAAGCTAGGTTGGGGGTGGGTATGTGGAGCTGCCCCACCCGCTCCGCACCCACTTATCTTGCAGCCAGGCCTCTCCTTACTGGCCCGGCTCTTTTTCTGAGGCCTCTTTTGCAGCCAGGCCTGCATTTCTCAGTCACAGGACTTTCTGGAAGATCTGTGCAGCCAAGAACTGAGCTATGGATTCAATCCATAGCTCGGTTCTGCAAGACCTCAGCAGCTGAGCACCAAGCTATGGATTGAATCCATAGCTCGGTACTCAACTGCTTAGGCCTTCTGGAAAGGCCTGACTGCAAAATGCAGGCCTGAATGCAGCTGCAGAACTTTGGCCCCAGAAGAAGTGGACCGGCTGGATGGGGCTGTCAGTGCCGGAGGTGAGGTAAGGCCTACCCCGAAAATAAGACCTGGTGCCTCTTTTGGAGGCAAAAAAAAAAGACCCGGTCTTATTTTCGAGGAAACACAAAAGATATGAGTCAGTTGTTAAGTATCTGAATTTTGATCACATGACTATATATATATATGATATATATAGGTGTGCATGTTCAATAGTGAGTCATACCTTTATTTCTCCAAAGTTACTGAAGTTCATTTACCTAAATGTGAACAAGATTTTGCACTATTTGATATATTTTTGCTCAGCCATTCACATACTGCCAAAAAAAGCAAGATCCTGGAACTGTTGCTCAGACCTCGTCCATCACATCTCTATCTTATCTGTTAAGTGCAGCCTGTTATAAAATAGCATTAGTGTCTGCATTACCAAAGCCTCTTTTGATGATTCTTATGTGTCACTGATGATCCTCATCTGGGTTTGCCATTAATTCTTCTAGCAAGATGCCTTTTTGTTTCTAAAAATTAACATTTAGAATAGCAAGTACATTATAGTGCCTTTCTAGTTTTCATGTCACTTCAGTCCAGGTGATAAGAATGACCTTTACAACTGAAACATCATACAGAAAATTCTGATATTGTACATAATATTTACAAATGGAAATGCAAGTCTTTCTTTTTATATATCATAAGAAAATAACAGCTTGGATCTGTTGATTGGACTTTCTGAGAAGTGACCTACTACCTGGTTACCATGTTTTCAAAAAAAAGTCTTATTCACCTAGATAAGTAAATATCGCAGAAAATAGTTTGATAAATTGTGTGTCGTTCTTACCAGTAACCCTGAATGAAGTAAAGGAAAGAGATACAAGAGAAAGTGAAATTTTAGCACACTGGATCTTGAAAGGAAGATGGGGAACTTGTCATATTTGGAGGTTGTAACCTGAGATCTTAAGAAGTTTGAAAGAGACAAAATGTAATTGCATACTTTTCCTAGAAATGCAGGCTCATTTTATTACAGTTAATACTCGTCAATGTACACCTGAGGTTTTAAAATGATTCTGCCTCAAAATATATGCACGCCACTTATCTTTTCCTTTAAAAAAGGAGAGAACTGTTCACTGGCTGGTAGAAGCCTGTTTTTTGCTTCCAAAGCAAATGCTTTCAGAGATCAAATGTTTCTAAGGAATGTGACATTATGGCTATTAATGAATGTAATGTAGAAAACTAAGGTGTTCTTAAAGGTAGCTCTTGCTGTCAACTTCTAGATAATTTGAAGGTATTAGTGCTGCTTCTGTTAAAATTGCGAGGGGAGGACGATGTGTATGGCTCCTGTTTCAATTATAAATGCCAATTCCAGCAGCATTCGGCACTACAATTTAATGATTTCTTTGAACCAGTGTAGGAATATATGGTTTATTGAAAACCAACATTCCTTAAGTATAATAAAATCACTTTATTTATTGAAGAGTGTTCCTTTTATAGATGAACTGTTAAACTGAATGCTGATTGAAAAAGTCTTTATTTAACTGTGGGCCACGTGCACCTTTACGAAACAATCATGATGCTACGATGCAGTCTCTGAAGATTGTATCTGCCATAGCTTCAACCTATGCATTTGATTTTCATTTAGTTCTGAACAAAGATCATGTTTTATTTTCTAGCAATTCGGGAAGAAAAAGACAATGTGAAATCCAATTTTACCACCATTATTTGCAAAACATGAGAATACAATGAATTAGAGTGAGATTTTTTAAAAACATTATCTATCTGTGTTTTCTTCTCAGCTGGAAATGTTGTTCCTTCCTCTACAGGATTCGATACTAGCATATTACCTATCTGTAAGGATTCATTGGGCTGGATGTTCAACAAACTGGATATGAACTATGACCTTCTCCTTGATCACTCTGAGATCAATGCTATTTACCTTGATAAGTATGAACCATGCATTAAGCCTCTCTTCAACTCCTGTGACTCCTTCAAAGATGGAAAGCTTTCCAACAATGAGTGGTGTTACTGCTTTCAGAAGCCTGGAGGTAATTGACCAAATTCAACCTCAGATAAAATGGATTACAATTCAGTATGCTATACTTTCCTTCCAATAAAATTAAGAGGAAATGAAGTCATGATGCTTTGTATGGTATTTATAACCATACTTCCACAATACAGCTGATGTGATATTTACTGGGAGGAACAAGCAAATTCTGGAGTTAATGAACATCTTTAAGAATGGTATTGATGTTCGTATTCATGCACAAATGATTTGATGCCCCATGTATCTATTCATCTAGAAAGCAGTGTTTACATGTTAAGTGTCTAAGGATGCCAAAATCCAAATATTCAATATTTGAGTCTAGTGAATAGTAGCTGAGTTGCTGAACAGTACAGGAAGCAACATTATGTCCTTCCCATGTGCATTACAATGTACAGAGTCCTCTCCTTTCTTTAGTTTTGTTTTTATTTATTTTTATAATATTTATTGTTATGTCTTAATAAACTCAAACCAACTCTGGGGACTTTATGGGTTAAAACTCTTCAAGCTGTTCTGTCTTTCACCACATTAGACAATCCTAGTAAATGCTTTTCTGCTTTCTACCTCATGTTCTATCAGCCTTTTCTTGATCTTCCATTCCTTTTTTGAACATTATCTTCTTTTCCATAGATGCATCTGCCCTCATGATGCACCCATAGTTTTATAGCTTTTGTCTTGTGATTTGAGCACTAGGGCTTGATTTCTTCTAAGAAGTTGGTTCTCTTGGCTGTCAAAGCAGTTCTTCCCCCTCCATAGGTCAGGGGAATTAATTTTTTTCTTCTCACATGATAAGCCATCCTTCACATCTGTATTTCATACAGGAGAAGACCAGTGAATGGATCATTCTAGCTTTTGATTTAATTGAAATGTCCTGATTTTTCATGAGATTTATAAGACCCCAAATCTTTTTGCTTCATGTTATCAATTCTGGAGCCTAGAACTTTGAAGTCTACAACTTCTGTCTTCTAACTATTTATCTTAAATTCTTCTAATTTTCCAGTAGACATGATCTATATTTTCTTGATGTTCAAAGAAAGCCCTGCATTCTCACTCCCTTGCTTTAGCAATAGCAATAGACTTAGATTTATTTACTGCTCCACGGTGCTTTACAGCACTCTCTGAGCGGTTTACAATGTTAGCATACTGCCCCCAACAATCTGAGTCATTTTACCAATCTTGGAAGAATGGAAAACTGAGTCCACCTTGAGACGGTCAGGATCAAACTCCTGGCAGTGGGCAGAATTAGCCTACAATACTATATTCTAGCCACAGCACCACCAAGACTTTGTTTTTAGAATGATCAGTCTTAGTTCTTCTTCAGTTTCTACCTCAGAATTATCTCAGGTCATTTACTTTTCTTCCACTGATTTTGCTACTATTTGTTGAAATCAAACTCCATTCTCATTGTGGCATCCTGATTATTATAGAGACTTCTTATCGGAAGAATCAGATTGTTGATTCTGAAGTCTGCTTAGTCAATTGCCATTTATCTCTATATAAAGTTCTAATCTTTTCTGAAGGATTTTCATCTATATCTTGTTAGCATGTGGTATTAAAGCTATTCTGTAATTCTTTTAAATCTACTGTTTTATGGATTGGGATAGGCCTTTTCCAGTTTTTTGGCCATGGTTTTTTTTATATATATATTAGTCAGCAGAGAGCTATCATGATCTTTATTGTTTTCATATCAGTTTTATTTAAGAACTCCATGGCAATTTTATCCACAACTATGGTTTTTCTAATTGATAGTTATTTTATAATAATCAGACTTTCTCTTCAAGCACAACCGATTTATCGTCAACTTCTTCTGTCTTGAATACAATCTTATCTACGTTGGTTGTCTTGTACAATTTGTTGATTTATTCCTTCCACTTTTTAAAACAGTACTAGACAACTCATGACCCTTTGGGTCATTGTTTCAGATATATTTCCTTACCTAAATGAGAAACAGAATGACCACAAGTAAGCAAAAAAGCAGTGAGAACGGGAGCAACTTCCTGCTGGCTTCCCCATTGACTTTCCTTGTGAGAAACTGACAGAGAGCATTGGAAATGGCAATCATGTGACTGCAGTTGACATAGCAGCATGGCGGCATGGCAACACTAAAGCAACCACAACTTTGCCAAATTTCAATGGTACAGGAGTAATGGGTTCCAGATTTTCATTTAGCCCATTTGAGGTACATTGATTAAAAAAAAAAATTGCCATAAGGTAGACCATTTCACCCAATTAAAGGTTACAAACAGGAGAATTTTATTAGTATATAGATTTTTCATCATTGAATCCTTTTCATGCGTGTTCCTTATGACATTGACATGATGTTGGATTATTTCTGCAATTTCTTTAATTCTCCTAAACAGATCCCTTGTTCTTCCAGTTTTGTCTTTTTCTTCTGTTTATACGCTACGTTTTTATGTGCTTTCCAGCTTCATCTTTTAATTTCTTCCCACAAAGGTCCAGGTATTTGCTCCTGACTTCAAATTTATATTCCTCAGGAATACGTTATATCTCATTGGGATTTGATTTTTTTGTAGTCTTGTTCACTCTAAAGCATATTTATATGTTGAGCAGTCTGATCCACATTCAGCGCCTTACAATGTTTTACAAGTCAGCAGAGAATTTTCCCATATGTTGCTACATAAGATGTAATCTATTCCAATACTGTGTTGTTCATTTGGATATATTCAGGCATATAGCTGTCATTTGGGCTGCTGAAAGAATGAATGAATTAGGAACAAAACCAACCATTTTCTCCACAGAAGCATCAGTCATTGGCCTCAGGTTCCTAGTTCATATTTTCAGTTTTCAATGGAGGTTCCTTTTGGAATTTTGCATTAAAGTCAGTATTTATAGCTTGGCCCAATTCGAAGAAACCATAAGTGGGATGCAGCATAAACATTCCTTTAGTTCTTCCCCCCTCCCACCCCTTTAACATAGCAATTAGTCCCATAACCAGTATACTTTCATTAACTTGCCCTATAACATTGTCTGCTCCTCCAATGTAAAATGGATTAATAGAAGACACCTGACTTTTCCACGACCTATATCTATTTATTACCAACTGTATTCCCTTGAGACGGAAAACAAAAACATTTATTGATATGCTGAGCCTGTTTGAGATCAGGGAACAGCTTTTTCCCAGATGAAAGAAAGGTTTTGTGTAATTTAGTAATTTAGGATTATTTTCCAGTGAGTGCAATGATTTCTGTTTTGGAGCTGTTTTTCCTATCCAAAAACATAATTTCAGATATGGAAGTGTTTTGCTTTTTTCCTTTTGGCTGTTTCATTTACATTCTTCATTTAAACAGAACAAAGGAAGATTGAATGGCGGCTTCAGAAAGACACCAGCCAGACAGTCTCTAATATATTCAAGGATAAATTTATCAAATTTAATATATTCTTTTGTATATTTCTTTTCTCCATTTCATGATGTATTGGCCTTTTTCATGCAATTCTTCTCTCTGTTAATATGTTTTATATGTTTTGAATCCTAATATTTCATTTTGAACAAAATATTCTATTTTCAACCACATTTTTCCAAATTACTATTCTTTACTCTCTCCATATTTTTCTTGCTACATTACATTTCTGGATACATAAACAAAACTATTATTACATAAACAAAAGACATCCACTCAAAAAGTTACATGGTATTAGAAATCTGTAGAGTATTCTGCAAAGGCTGTGAATCTGTTTCCACATCCTCAGAAGCAGCTCTATATCAACATGACACCTTCTCCATCCCATCTGTTTCAGTAATAGTCTAAGCAGGAATAACAGATGCTTTAGGGCTGCTTCTGAGAGAAATGGGAAACTATTCCCATTTGCAATATCCCACACAGATTTTTGCAAAACCTCAGTCTTCATAGACATTCAACTTACAGGTAGGGAAGAAAGGCTCAGGAAAAATATATCTGACATGTCCACACAAAAATATCTGCCCTTCTCCATTGTAGGACCAAACATGTAAATCATGCATGATCTGCTACTCAGCTACTACAAAATACAACATGTTCTATCACATGAGGACTTTGTTCCATTGATTAAGCAGCAGGATGCTCCGTAAATACCCTGAGAAATATAGATCCTGGTCATCAGTTGCAATTAAAACTTCAGAACTGCTTCAGCTGCTATTAGTTTATAGCTTAGGCAATTGCTTAAAATGTGGAAATTAATTGACAAGCCAATGGTAAATTAGCATCCTGTTTATATCAGGCTGATGAAGAGAGAGGAAAAAAAAGTGTTTAACAATAAAATGCCCCCCAAACACTATTTTTAAGCATAGCAGGTTGTGCCTTTTTTAATTAGTAAAGCTAATGCCGTGCATTTGTTCTGCTGTACTGTACAAGCATATGTAGTTCATTCATTCCCAGGTGAGCAATCGACTACACTGCTTGTCAATTGTGAAGCTAATCATTAGAGGGTCTGTCCCTCACCATCTGGAAACTCATTCTCATGAATTATGTTTTAGGCCTCCCATGCCAGAATGAGATGAACAGAATTCAAAAGATGGGCAAAGGGAAGAACTTGCTGGGTAAGTTTAGTGATTTGCCACTCACTCAATCCATTACTTCTTTAATAAATAATTATTATTAGAACATTACAAATGTATTGGTTTATTTTTATATGACTGTCTTTCTCATTTGAGCAGCAAACAAGCTAACATAGAACAATATAAAACATAAAACGTACAATGCTACATATATAATTCAAAAGGAAAACATCAGGCAGAATAAAAAAATATAATATCGACCCACATGGGTTTAACTAACTACGTAATTCACACGCCTGGGCAAACAACCAGGTTTTCCAAACTTTTCAGAAGGCAAGCAGGGTTGGAGCCAATCTGATCTCAACATCAGACGTAGCCCAAGAACAATGTAAAGAAATCTAGCCAAAGTTCAGTTCTTTATTTCCTGACACCATATAGACAGGATCCTGCCAGACTAAACCCATAAGATGCCAACCCAAATGATAGATCCTGG